TCATTGCTGAGGGATGCCGTAGATACTGTGTTTGAGCAAGGTTGACGATCTTTTTGCTATTTGATATGCTTCAAAAGAGACAAGTTTGAAGCCCTTTCCAGTTGTCATTGCTTTGGTCGTCAAGGCATCCGGTCCAATGTCATCAGCAAAAACAATGTACCATAGTGCTTTATAGAAGAGAGTCTGCAGGCTTTGGCTTGTGTAATTCAATTGGCCATGTGGGGCAATGCACAAATTCCTTTGTTTTGACTCTTTTGTGCTGGCATTTTGGAAGGGTTGTATAGAAGTGTTCAGCAGTTTTGCGCGTCAACGGAGTCAACGTCTTCGCTAGAAATTGGCTGGGGAAGCAAGAGAACCTTCCCTGATTGGATGCGAACTAAAGCCAAATCACCCTGTGGCTGAAGTAGAGAGAAGGCGGACCAATCCAGAAACCCAGACATGTTTCTAGTGTGTTTTTGTTGCCTGGGCCTGTGTCAAAGCACATCCTGAAGATTCCTAGAGTCCGGGATTGCGGTTTAGGGTGTCAGCATAGCATGTGTTGACTGTTGAAACCCATGTTGTCGGCACGATATCACGATGCATTGAGGTGCATCGTCAAACTGGACCGAGCTGATGCAATCCGAGAGGAGACAACCGCTGATAGGTCAGAAACCGCCGGGCCCGACTGGTTTCATACCAAGTACTATGGATGGTTCGTAGGATTGGAAAATCGTATGAGATAACCAATATATCCCAATATCACGTGTATTTTGATAGAGACCTCTGTAGAGAGACCTCCCAGTTCGACCCCCCTGGAAGAAGGGAAATCGACCCAACATCCATTGGGTCAGGGGGATTCCCCCGGATACCCACATGATGATTGAGTACATACAGGGATGTGAAGACCAATGCACCCCAAGAGAAACACGCATTCGCCACGACCTTAAATTGAACTTACTTTCCGATCTTTCCGTAGTCAAGTTGCGAAGACTGTGGAAGAGGTTTTCGATCACTGTTTCTTTGTCCCTTTGTGTTTGTCATTTTGGTTTCCTTCTTCCTCTCTGTGTCCCTCTCTCTCTTTCTCTCTCTCTTTTTCTATCCGAACATGTATATATTGGCATGCAGTCCATCCATCTAAGGGTTTCAGTACTCCGAGTCACCACTCCCATCTTCGGAGTCACCGAGTGCGAACCCCATCCACCACGCCACGTACCGCCACGGCGACTGGAGAGGTGTCCAACGGTCCAAGGTTCCTGTTTGGAGGACCAAAGGTTTGGGCCCCCAAAAGCGTGGCGAAAGCTTTGGCTGTTCACAACATGTTTCAACTTAGAATTGATAGTAGCAAAAGGCCTGCAGCTGGATTGTGAAAACAATAGCAGCGAAATCATGTTGGAAAGGGACGACTCTTGATTATTTGTATACAACATCCTTCGTTTTGCATGAGGCTTTCATTCGGATATTGCCCGTCAATTTTGTTGTTTCTTTATTGGGAAACTGCTTCTCTGGTGTCTTGGATCGTGTGCGCAGGAAAGATATATTTGACCTCTCTCTCTATAGCCCAGACGCTCCATGTATATGCCTACATTGGGGTGGTTTGAGGGCCCAATGTAGGCATATATGGCAGTCCCATGGAGTGTCTGGGTAGTAGAATTATAACGATCTTCACCTCTGCGGTGTGATCAGGAACATGTGAACTCGATCCAAGTCTTCGAGGCGGATCCGCCCGGAACGAAGGACATTTTTCTGGGGCCCGGCCGAAAGAGACTCGTTCAACTCACCGTGGTGGGGAGGAGGGGTACGAGAAGCAGAAGAACCACTGGGCCGGACGAAGAACAAAGATAGAAAAAGGAATGAACGAATGCATTGTTTGTCTTCTATCAAGTCTTAAAAGCGCCTGCCAGCAGGTTGCAGGTTGCAGGTTCCTGAACAGGTTGAACAGGTGTCACGCGAAATGGAGGTGCCCCTGTGCCGCAGGTGGCCCCTGTGCCGCAGGAGTAGGATCTGAAACAGTCTGTGAAAAGACATGGCCTTGTTTTAACATGCGCTCAAGGACCAGATACGACCACATCAAGAGCATGTCTTATCTAGAGTATTCAAAGTCCTTTTGATGGAAGAAGATGTCCCACCCTACGGAAGGAAAGTTCAAAGTTCATGTATGTTATTGCCAGCAACTGACCTGCACAGTTGGTTGGTTAATGGGCGTGTTGGCTAGAAATCCCTCCCTTTGCTGCTTGGACCGTTTCGGGAGGCAAGAATGCTTGTTTGTGGCTGCAGCATCGGCCATCGTACGTGCGCCGTTTTCTTGATCAAGGCGACACATAGAAGATACATCGAGCAATTACCTTGGCCCAGCTGGAGGCTGAATCTTGGATACATTTTTACCTCAAGAGTGCATACCCAATTTATTTCCATGTGCATATATACTGTGCCTTTACAAGCCCACCAGAATGTCAGACTGTCAAGCACTCTGTTTGGAAGCATCTATAGCTAGTCTATGAGGCCATGCCTCTCTTCAATGTCAAGTTGTGCCCTCGGCATCCCTTGACGATCCACCAACACCAAGCAGATCTTCACAGCCTCTTCGCAGCCTCTTTGCAGCCCATCCCACTTCTTCGCAGCAGTCCCCCAGTCCCTCATGCGATGTAGATTCATGCCAAGCGCAGCCAATGTGGGATCGCGTGGACCCTGGAGTCACCGGATGGAGCGATATCCCACCGGGTCGGTCTCGCTTTCCGTCGCTCACCTCGGCGCTCACCTCGGGCGGGTCGTTTTCGGGTCTCCTCACCCAAGTGCTTCTGATGTGATCCGACACAGTGTTGATCATGCCAGGCATGTTTCTCGCGATCTTCAAGAGGACGAAGCATCAAAACCAATGAACACGTGATGTTTTGCCTTTGCACAGGAACGGGGTTTGGCCTTTTGTTGGAGCTCTTCATGGTTTCTACTTGAGGAGGGGTGTATGACAATTTGATTGAATCTGCAATAAGTTATGTTGCCTTTTGTTTGCATGAGCACGCCACTGGTTCGCAACCCCCACCAACAGGAGCTATAAGTCAAGACAAACATTCTTATTATGGCCGGTACAGCAGTTTGTAAGTCAGAAAGACAGCAACTTAGTCCTCTATAATGCGTCAAAGCATGTGTTGTTTTCTCACCTGGAGCACTTCTCGCCTGGGACGAGCATCAGGTGGAGCACCAACACCGGTGGTGCAGAATACGCATCAGGCCAAGTCACACAGAGGATGGGTGTGGCGTCCTTGGCGGCGCCCTTGTTTGTCGCAAAATGAACACTTTCCCAGACAGTTTTCCTGTTTGGGACTGGAACATTAGGATTTCTTCATTCATCCATGAGCTCAATGATGTAGGTAATTCTGCCAGTCCCATTGAGTGTTTGGGTTGTTGGGTTCCTTGTAAGTGCGAAAGTTGGAATGGAAGGGATGATAAGGGATGTTTTGCCCGGAGAGTTGAACCCCGATGATCTCGTGCGCGCTACTTCAGGCCAAGCACGATACTTCAGCTGGGCCGAACTGGCCGGCAGCTTAGGGTCCACAGCAAGACCGTTTGTTTCTTTTTTGTGTGTTTTGTATTGGAGCTTATGGGACTTGATTTATGTATCTCCGTTGTTTGCTTTGCTAGTGCATTCCTAGCGTGCATATAACATGTCTTTGGACTCCAGGTGGCCATAGGCAGCGTTGTGACCATGTTTCAGTTCTTGTTCAATTGGATTGGTTTTGGTGCCAGATTTCCTCCTGTGCAACATGTCTGTCGGTGCCGACACTGCTTCACGATCCGGAAGGAAGGAGGGCCACAAGTCCGGTATGTGCTTAGTACGACCCCTTGGCGGTGTGTCGCTGTGCCTATTCACCACCCCCATCTGTGGTTCCTGACATTGGCTGGCATTTCTGTTGAAAACACCCTGAATAAATAGGGATAGTAGAGGCACCGCCCTGCAGAGGCCTAAGAGGCTTCCGTTAAAGTTGTCCGTTGGCTCTTCCAGCCAACTTTCTTAAGCTCCAGTCACGCCACTTGAAATAGCTATGGAATGCTATGGCTATATAGCTAAGTCATTGTAGTGTTTGATAAGCATTGTTTACAGCCCATGCTGGTTTGAGTGGAGAAACTCAACGAAACGGTGGCTGTGGCAGCCGGCAACCTCATGTGTGCACTGCCTCATTTAGATGATTTAGCACAAATTTGGCTAACACCTGCAGAAACGATAGGACCCCCCTGAAAAGCGATCACCTTGCTGAATCATGTCCTCTACTTGACAAGTTTTGGCAGATGCTCATGTTCAGACGAACCCTTTAAAGATCGTTGAAGCATTTATACCCCATACAGTGACCCCGGTCCACGCTCTTCTTGATTTTTTCCCGCCCAGGATTTGCGAAAATTGTGGCACGTCCAACCCGGCCACTTGCAGGGGTCTCAGCCTGGTACCATCGACTTTGTCGCATTGTGAGGAATTGGTGAACACCCGTCACAACAGTTCCAGACATCCAGATGCTCCTATGATACTATATGTGTTGTGCTTATGTCAAACACCGATGTTCTTCACATGTTAAGTATCGATACGTTTCAAACACAGCAGCAGGCATGATTCATGCGTGCAAGGGGACGGCTTTTTCACTCAGAGAAACCCCCAAGGGTCGCATGCACGGCGCATGCACCGCTGGCTGCAGACTTGCACCATCGGCTTCCTGACTGATTGTTTCCTGCAATTATATATAAGGACATTTCGCTACAATCGAGGGTAGTTTCATTGTGTTTGAGAGTAGGGGGGCTGATGGAGGCATGCGGAAGGATAAGGCGCACTTCACCGCTCGCTCTGTTTTTGCTCTCTGTGCCAAGTGTTATGGCCATATCTTGGGATCAAAATCAGCGATCTCAGTGTCTCCAGTGGGCCACCCGTGGAAGTATTGTATTGTTCAAGATGGCACACTGAAATTCCTAAGATTCTTCAACCAAAAGTTCTTAGTTCTCAAGTCAACATAAAAGTAGCCACTTGGATCCACTTCGCAACCCTACACCAATCGAATCACACTCCCTGCATCGAGATCCAGAGGCTGTTTGAAGAAATATAGCGGCTTGCCTGGTCGTGAAGACACAAGTCGTTCAATTGTCCAATTTGGACGGCATGATTCCAAACTAACTACTAGTTAGTGCTTCTTGCCAAGCCACGCGGTGAAATCTCCTAAGCAAGGACAGGCCAAACAGATTGAAGTGGCAGTATGAAAAAAAGAAGGGGACTTAGTGCAACATAACAATTCTGCTGGGACTCATGGCCTGCTCGAGATATGCCACATGCCAAACGGATTCAACTGAAAAAAGAAGGGGACTTAGTGCAACGTAACATAACAATTCTGCAGGGACTCGTTGGCTGCCCGCAGATAGGCCACACGCCACAGCTTGGTGAGGGTCTTGGAACCATCCAGCTCCTGAGTTTGAGCGCGTTGAGCCATGGTCCCGCTGCCATGGAGCCATGTCAAGGCTGTCAGGGCGTGGTCCCCCCCAGGTCCATCAACAGAAACTTCAAACAAGGGGCATCGGCATTGAAGAACGATGCCACATTTGTGTACTTGCAGTTGGACGACACCTCATTGTATTGGTAGTAGACCGGAGTAGCCTTGGGCTTGATCAAATAGTTGGGCGTTCCACCTGACTGCAATTGGTTTGAGAATTTAAGCCAAATGGGAACGGGCTGAAATTGAGAATCCAAGGATTATGGTTGAGTTGTATGTTGTTTCCAATAATGGGACCCTACCTTGATCAACTGCCGGTGCCATGGTGGATGCCACAAGGTCATGACCGTTCACACTCGTGTCGGTCACTCCAGCGTTTTCCATCTCTTCCAAAAGCTGCCGCCAGGGCGACCTCGAGGAGTCGACAGTTGACTTGCCGCTCTCATCCGGCACCTCCAGGACGACTTCTTCCTCATCACTCGTCCAGCGTACTGCCATGATTCTGCAAAGTTCACCTGGCAAACACTTGCATACAGTGATAAGTTCTATGTCTTGAGTTCCATTCATATCCATGTCATACAATGACAAGTTCCATGTTGTTCCATCTCATAAGAATATGTGGACCTGGACCTTAAGTTCAAAATCGATTGATTTTTCCCGCAGAGACGATCCTGTTTCCAGAGTCTAGCAAAGATCACGCTTCCCCTTGAAACCTAAGTAGTGTTGGCACTACTGTGAGTGCCATGAAAGTAGTATCCCAACTACAGCAACCACAGGGCAGTCACACAACAAACTGTTCAGACTCAGAGAAAATAGTTAGGTTTTGGTGCTGAAGTTTTCCAAAAGCCCGGTTGCTACAAACCCCTTGAACAAAACGGATCAGTTCGCTTCAGAAATCTCATCATAATTCTCACCGGGCTCGCTTTCAGAACCCTCATCATTCGAGGCCAGATCATTGTCAGCCACCTCAGCCTGCTGCTCTGGCTCTGCAGGACATTCGGCGGCCTCGACCTTCCGTGGCCTCTTCGATGGGACGAGGCGCCTTCGGGAAAGCTCTGAGTTGCTCATGTTCTTCATGCTGTTCACCCTCTCCGGATGAGTCTTCCACCTGACAGTTCACAGAAAGTGGGGGCTCATGCCAGTAGGGTAGGGCATGCGTGAACAAACGTGAGGAATAGTGTGTTCACGAAAATGAGGCTGGCACTCATTGCGAGCCATCTCCAAAACCTGGGTCTTGCTAGCAGAAGGGTTTTCCTTCTGTAGCCGCTCTTTCGATTCGGTGATGTGCTGCCAGTAGATAGCCTTCAGCCCAGGAAGACCAGCCTGTGGGCAGTGTGTAAACCATGATGATGATGGTGGTACTTTGGACGGGTTTCAATAGGTAGTGAGCATGTTGTTGTCCAATGTGTTCCAAAGTAAGTCAAACCCATGTGAACAGAAGTAATGAAAGGCCTTCTTCTGGTCTTGGTTAGCAGCCACTTTCTTGCTCTTTCTTTTCGCCTTCTCCGCATCCTTTGTCTTCTCCTCGTCCTTGTCCTTTGCCTCATCCTTACCCTTCTTGGTCTTCCTTTGGTTCTTCGCAGCCTTGGGCGGCAACGAGTACTTCGACTTGGCAGCTTCAACCTTGTCTTCCTCAGCCTCCTTCACATCATCTTTGTGAGCGTCCTTTTCTTCTGAAAACTTGTTGGAACTTGACGCTTCACCATCCTTCTTGGACTGAGTCTTCACTTGATTGCTTTTCTTCTCAGCCTTTGAATCGACCTTCTCAGCGCTGTCATCCTTCTTCACTTCTGTGCCCCCCTCGTTTCCAACTGCCAACTTTGCGCTGGCCTTGGCTTTTGAGGATACCTTCTTGGCTTCCCCGGCACCCTGCTCGGCATTGGACGGTGCAGGGGCCGCGCCATCAGTAGCAGCAGCCTTCTTCTGACGACGGGCTTTTGGCGCAGCGATGGGTGGTCCCACGGCTCTCAAGATGGCAGCCGACCTGTCAACTGCTGCTGCTGTCTTCGGGTCATCCTTTGGCCTAGCCGACCTGTCAACTGCTGCTGCTGTCTTCTGGTCATCCTTTGGCCTGGTCTTTGAATTCTTAGTGGACTCCGTGTTGGGCTCAGGTTGTGGCGCCCGACGCTTCAAAGCAGGCTTCCTTGAACTTGTCTTTTCCTGACGAACGATAGCCAGCCAGAATGTGCAGTCTAAAAGAGGGCTGGCATGGCATTCTGTGAAAAGAAAATTAATATGCGTATGTTAGATGTTCGTGAATTTGGTCATAACGAATATCTTGTGAAGATGGTAGCTGTGTCCAAGACAGTTTTATGCACTTCACCGTGTGATGAGGATGCAGCGGTGCCCATCAAAAGCACGCGTCGGCCTCCTCACGCTTTGGCGAAGGGCTCGGAGAGGGCAACTCACCACTGCTGAGATCTTCTTCTGAGTCCAACGGGTTCTCCTCCTTTTCTCTTTTCGTAGGTTTCTTCTTTGCTGCCTGCTTTGCCCTGCTCTTAGCTTTGCTTTTGGCTGCTTTTGCAGCTTTCTTCTCCTCCTTCTTCTCATTCTTTGCTGCCTGCAGAAGAGAATCCAAAGCCTTCCGCCGTTCTTCGGACATTGGCGGATCATTCCTTTGGTTGGATCCTGAAATCGTCATCGGAACGTGAGGAGTCGTAGATGCAGGTGGGGATGGAGCCACGGCTGCTGAGCTGCCCTCCAGGGGCAAAGCCAACTCTTTCCTGACCTCCTCAGGAGTTTCTGGTGAATGCCTCTCGGGTTCCTCAGGCTTGAAGTCCTCAGGCTTGTTGGCGGTCTCACCACCGTGAAGGGCCTCCTCAGGCTTGAAGTCCTCATGATCAGGCTTGTTGGCTTTCTCACCACCGTGAAGGGCCTCCTCAGCATGAAGGGCCTCCTCAGGCTTGAAGTCCTCAGGCTTGTTGGCGGTCTCACCACCGTGAAGGGCCTCCTCAGGCTTGAAGTCCTCAGGCTTGTTGGCTTTCTCACCACCGTGAAGGGCCTCCTCAGGCTTGAAGTCCTCATGATCAGGCTTGTTGGCTTTCTCACCACCGTGAAGGGCCTCCTCAGCATGAAGGGGCTGCTCAAGCTTGAAGTCCTCAGGCTTTTTGGCGATCTCACCACCTTGAAGGGCCTCCTCAGGCTTGAAGTCGGTCTCACCACCGTGAAGGGCCTCCTCAGGCTTGAAGTCCTCAGGCTTGTTGTCATGAAGGTGGGCATCCTTAGGCTTGAAAATCTTGAAGTCCTCAAGCTTGTTGGTGTCATGAAGGTGGGCGTCCTCAGGCTTGACAATCTTCAAGTCCTCACGCTTGTTGGTGGGATCCTCATGAGGGTGGGCGTCCTCAGGCTTGAAGTCCTCAAGCTTTTTGGTTTCCTCAGTCTTCAGCATCTTCTCCACCGTGTTTCCCTCACCAGTCCGCTCCACCCCTCGACCATATTCCATGTGAAGCTTCTTAGGTGCAGGATGTTCAACAGAACCGATGGCGATACGCTTTCCTCTAACCTCGGAGTCATGGGAGTTGCGTTGGTCAAGAACAAAAGGCATGACAAGGTAGCATAGAATAGAGCTTGGGAGTAGTTTGTATACATTGATGGCTTGCCTCCTTTGCAGGCTGGCGCCCTCCGTCCAGAGCAGCTGAAAGTGGGCTTGGCAGCCCAGCCTGTGGTGATCTATTCCAAACGTGTTTGACGGAACTAGCTGAGAGGTACAAGTTAACAAGGATTTGGCTGACCAACCCAACTTGTCACACTTAAGAAAATTGAGTGTTTGAGGACGCAACCCGGGTTGGGGGAGTGATGGCATAGGACGGGCTCTCCTCGGTGAGCTGGGCGAAATCCTGGCAATATGACAAGTCGACAGCCTTGGCACCGGCCACCTGGAATCCCAACTTGATTTCAAAAAGACTCAACTCCTTCGCAAAGCCATGAGACTGCATGAGGCGCTCCAACGCCGACATCTCGCTAGCAGGACCGACCGAAGGGTTGGCGTGAAGTGGACTGACTGTCAGTTTGGGCCACGCCTGGAAGCAAGTCACAGTCACAGCTTTTGTGGGTGCCGAGACCCTAATGGAAAACAAAGCAAGTCTTGACCAAAATGCAAGCCCGATGAACGGACAATTTTTCACTGGGAGGCTCCATGAGGAGGTTGCGCCGGATGGTTTGCACCTTGTGCCACAAAAAAAGGCCAGTCTAGTGGGTGGTGTTCCAGCACAATGCATTGGCAGGTGACTCTTGCGAGACCGGCCTGAGAGTCCCATCAGAGCTTTTCCATTGACACCTAAGTGGGCGCGAGAACAACTTTGGTTTGGTACCTAGGATCGGCTTGTGTTGTGGACAGGATTGGGAAGAATGAAGCAGGACACAAAGTTCAAGGTAAACCCTCTCCGGTGGTCTAAAGTTACTGTAATGCCATTCCAACTCAAACAAGTTCAAGGACGCTGACAAAGTTCTACTCTGATTCTGTGCCTCTGACATGTGCGATGCCAATGGTCCAGAGGTCGTGCAATGTTCCTGCGGCACTCGTTCTATATCATAGTAGCCCATATGTGAAGCCGCTTGATTAAAACAGGTTCAGGAGTCTGCCCTTTGCTGAGTACCACAAACAAGACTGAAAAGGAATGATTGCGACAGGTTTCACTGCTGGCCTTAAGGCATTCTCATTTGGAAACATCGCAAATTATCACAGACTTTAAAGCGCTTTCAGGACACAACAAGCATTCAGGCACAAAATTGCTCCGCCGTCAAATGCTGCAGGGCTGGCTCGTAAGCAAACCTAGTTCCGTGTATGGTCAGCCAAAAAGGCAAGCATAGTGACAGTAAATGCAGAAGCCTTGACAAGCTATTCCACTATGCAGCTATGCAGTTTAAAATACTGACCTGGTGCCCCCACTACTGGATCCAAGCCTTTTGCGTATGAAGGGGAAGCGGAAGCCACTGGCCATGAGCCTCGAAAGCAAGCGACGACCGCCCAACATGCTTAAGAGTTAAAAATTCCCAACCTGCACGCACCGTCAATCACACTGGGCTTCGCGTAAGAGCCAAGCTCATTGCTAAGTTGGCTAGGGCACTACAGCATGCAGGCAAGCAATGAGAGTGTGACAATGCACAAAAATGCCAGGATGACTCTTCTTGTTCTGGAGTTGAAGTTGGGCGACCTTCTCGCTCTTGACCCACTTCGAGGAGCCATGGGCGATGACAAAGTCATTTGTATCGATGGTGACGTTGCAATGGGCGGCCTTGGGTTTGCCGTTTTGGAGTAGGAACTTATATCGGTTCTGTATCATATGTTGACATGTTTTCTGAAAAAAAATCATATGATTGTTGAGAACCAAGCTACGAGAAACAACTTGAATTGTTGATCAGGCCCTACTTGGTCCAGAGTTCCATCCCGACGTTTCGCGTTCACCAGAATGAGTGTTGTTCCCGGTGATCTCCCTGAGATCTTGTTTTCGATGACGTAGCGATCCATGAGCAACTCAATGGTACTAGGCTCTTCCCATGGAACAATCTTCATGGGAGGGGGCGCATCTTTCTCTTGCTTAGCAATGAAAGCAGCTTGCATCTCTGCTGCATTCCCCTTCCCATACCTTGTGCCGATGCACAAACACCAGGAGCTAGAATGGTTCAAAAGGACAAAGTTTGCTACTATTCACTGAATGTGGTCAACCATGTTTACGTAGTTTGGATGGTTAGGCCAAAATGCTTGGAATCAAAGTCTGCCAAAAGTTCCTTCCATGTTGGGCCGAAAACAGGGTCCTCGAGGTGCCTGCCTCTTGTAGCTGGTGGGATGCTGAGCTTGATTTTGTCCCATCCTTTCTTGGACGGGTTCACATCGAAGTCCAGCTTCACCAGCCTCATAGGATACGCAGTGGGGTCAACTTCACCGTGGCCTGGAGGCGGCGGCGGGGGCTCCTTTTCGTACGGCCTGGCACTGGCAAAGTTCGATGACTTGCCAGATTTCCACTCCTGGTGGGAGAAATGTGTGGGGATGTGTGGTGTTGATATTTCACTCACTGAAAGTCTTGCCTAAAAAACCATTTCCATCAAAAGCATTTTCAAGAATCGGTCCTCCAGCAGGTCCAAGGCCAAGGTTTTCTCAACATACTGAGTAGTTGGCAAGCTTTTGGAAAGGGAGACCGTTTTGAAGGTGATCCCATCAAATCCTTTGTGGCATGTCTTCTCCAACCACGCATCATACGGAGTCAGGTTGATGATACCCACAGTTGAACCACTGGAGCCCGCGCTAGATTTTTGCAGCACGGATCCCAGAACAATTCTTGGAAGTGCTTCCCCCGATAGGAACTGGGCAACCTCCTGTACTTCGCTCAGACTCCTGACAGTGATATGTGTGAACAAGACTCTCTTGATTCTCAACGCACTACACGACACACTGATGCATCATATAGTGCATCATATAGAGGATTGTTCAGGCCTCGGCCCCTCACTCGCATGAGGAAGGCTGTCTCGTTCAGCCACAGGTACCACGTATGAGGACTCTGCTGGCCATGGGACCTCCCCTCTGGTAGCCCTGCAGGACAGACACGGGGGGGAGACAAGGTGTGCGATATGTCCATGGTTACTTGATGTTACTTGATGTTACTTGCACTATGAATCATGGGACTGATTCAGCGCCTGTCCAACAGGAGCTGGCAGGAGTTGAAGCAGTTGTCATCCCGGGCTTTGTCGGACCTTACTCCAAGACCAAGAGATCAACGGGTTCTCCGGACCCATCCGACCAGTAGGAACTAGGAGCCAAGGGACATCAAAAACCAGCCATCAAACTGGATGGGGACACGACGCTTGGCCGGTGGAGGCCCGCATCGCACTGCAATGTTCTGACTAAAGAACGATTTGGCATCGAACTTGGCTTCCCAAGCCCTGCGCGCGAGGTAAAAACATTGAAAAGTAAGCAAATTTAGTTAAAAGACCTCTTACACAGTCTCTTACACCTGTGGGCCCAGTGATAGTAACAACGGAAACAGCAACGTCCCGTCCTCAACTGACCCGGTACCTAGTCAAGACAATCCTCTTCCACCTGTGGGCCCAGTGACAAGAACAAACAGCAACATCCCGTCAGTCATCCCGTCCTCAACTGACCACGGTACCCTTGATGCTTCTCGGATACCAGGAATGGTGCTATGACCACTGCTGCGGAGGCCTTGTACCGGGTGTGCAAGACATGGTTGATAACGGTGGTGAACTCATCCATCTCGGTGGCTGTCATCCGGCCACACTTCATAAGATCACACCATATGATGCAGGGCAGATCAGGGAATCGCTGGAGAAACTGCAGGGTTTTCAAGTTCAGGGATCAGGCTAACAGATGAGACCACGAAACCCTTATCAAACCATATGAGACCATATACAGCCTATAACTTGGCCTATTATATACATAGCATGTAGACCTGTATGATCCTGTATGTAGATCTTAAAGTACGTTCCGACATGTGGCCTGAGTCACGATTTCCAACTGGTCCTTGACAACGCCAGAGTGAACAGCTAGATTTGCCAGCATGAACTCATTCACAATGCTGGCTCCGATCACATTCTGCGCCCTCAAATGGGCCACTTTCTCATGTCTCCTTCCACGATCGTTCTTCTCCACCTGCTGGTAGATGCTTCCAACCTGTGCGAGGTCACGAGCAAGGGCCAAGCAGTCGGCCTCAAACTGAGCTTTGCGAGCGTCTTGGTTAAGAAGCGTCATTTGGGCATCCACGTGGGCCACTCTCTGTTTAACATGGTCCACCTCTTCGGGCTTGTGCTCTTTGAACATGGAGGTCTCCTCGACATCAAATTGGGGGTCCAAAGCAGCAAGAGCAGTGTCAGCGTCAGAGAGATAGTCCCTAAGATGTTGTTTCCATCCGGGAAAGACAATTTTTTGTTTTGGGTAGGGGTGCGAAACAAACCGTAACAAGGTACAACCGACAGAGGTTGAAAGGACCCAACCACTAAAGGGTGGTGTGGACCCTTTATGTCCTTTCAACCTGTGTTGCACATGTAACTAGTCAGGGCAAGATTCCCCTCGACAACGCGCTTCAGAATGCCAGTCAGCAAGGCGTCGTTGAACATGCGGTTGCCATGGGAATCCATTTTCATCGCCATGTAATTCAAACAATGCCCCAAGAAACAGAACTGGTCCGCTACACTGTTCCATTCATTCAAAGAAAGTCGAGGGACTTTGGCGCGGCCACCCTGCTTGGTGGCAATCTCATGGAGCATCAAGATCCGGCTGATGAAACACTCTTGTTTGTCCTGGTTCATGGTCAAGATATCCGTCCACAGGTGCATGCTTTTGACGGTTGAGTCCCCACTGCACCCACCAATCATCCAACGCCCGTCGAGAAGCAGCTGGTTGTTGAAGGCTGCAGGGGGGGCCGACGACCAGGTGACCAGGTAAGTATTTTACTTATTAATAGGAAAAAGGGTCAATAGGCAATAATTATTGATTTCCTTGCTCTATATTCATCGAGGATTGATAGATTCTGTACTGTATAGCCCTAGTGAGAGTTCAATGCAAACAAATAAAACATAAGCACCCTGTCAAAGTCTTGCCTGACGCATCGAACCGGTAGAAGTGTAGGTGCTTCTCCAGTTCAGCCCAGACTGTGGGAGCAACGCCTACCTGCAGCAGCAAGAAGACAACTGGGCGATAACACACCATACAAGTTGTGAATATAATATTCAACAATGATCAACAATGGATAGAAAAGTATGGGGATGTAGGGAGGCACAAGGAATTGTTGAATTTTGTCAAAGTAACCTTGAAGCCGTACAGCTGAAGAGCTGTTGAGGCATCCACCCGCAGCTTTGTAGAGAACACAGCTGATCCGTAACTGTTATATTCGTCAACTGCACGCAGAAATGCCGATTTAAAGTCCAAATCTATGTCCTGATGGTCGGGTCCGTGTTGGTGGGTGGTCGTTTAAAAAGTCAGCTTATTTTGGATTCTGACTACTTTACAGACAATGGATTCTTAGACTGGTTTGCCTTCAAAAACATGCAACTGCAGCCAGTCCCGCGCTTGGAGTTCCTCAGCCCTGCTTGCAAAAGCTAGACATCGCTGAAGAGCATTCTTCTTCTGGCGTTCAGCCTGCTGGTCATTCACTTGAAAACGCCTCCACACGCACTCATTCAGTGAGGCAGTGCTGAACCTGCACTTGATGGTGTAGACTGATTTCAGCCACCTGGCAGGCATTGCAAAGATCGGACTCGGATGAAAGCGTCATGTTCTGGGACCTCAAGTTTATTAAGTTACAAGACGACGCTCCCACCCGGACCCTCACGTTGGAGGGGCCCATTCAATACTCTGAAGCTATTGCGCCACAATATGTCAGGCTACCCACACTGGCTCAACACGACGGTTCCACCGGGACCCTCACGCTGGGGGCCTTCCAGCTATTGTGGGTTTGGGTTCTTGTGTATTGCGGGTGCTGGCCAAACACGACGGTCCCACCCGGACCCTCACGTTGGGGAACTTGAGATTTTTACCGCTAAAATACGACCCTTTTATATATTACGGGTGTTTTTCACTCACACTCTTGATGACCAGACGGGCCTGGCAAAGTCAAGTTTCTCCTCCGCAGACAGTCTGTCCCGAAGATTTGTGTAGGTGTGCACCACAGCCCAAAGAATCATGCTCAGCCTCCCGTTTCCCTTAACGGCATGGACCTGGCCAAAGGTGTAGGGCTGGTCATGAGGGATGAGCTCGGTCACTGTTTTCACTTCTAGGACTTCTCTCCAGTTCTCAAAGCCACGATAGAGGATGTCCTTCAAGACACTCACCCACGAATGGAGGATAGGGAGTCCCTCCACAGGTGGCTTGTAGACGAAGGCGAGCAAGGGAACATCAACTACATCATTGGAACTGGCCTTAATCACCAAACTAAGCCCAGGGAGGAATGGAGCTTGTTACGAATGGAACTTAGCTACACAATTCAGTGCCTATCCTCAATTGAACCCAGGGGCTGGGAATTTGTGGCTACCAATGGCTGGAAAGTGAGGATCTTGTTCATGGAGCCAGTGTTGAATGGGTTCGAATAGCCCATCGTTCATCATATCCATCAGGCTTTTCACAGGGTGCTCACCGGCGTCGATCTCAAATCCGTTCCTGAGAGTCCATCCTCATGTGACCAAAAGGGGTCTGGTTTGGTTCAGAGGCATGAGTCCCAACTGGTCCCTAGGCTGAGTGTCTGTGCGTGCTCCACCAGTGCAGCTGCCCAAGGCACTGACTCCTTCATGACTTTCAACGGCTTGAAGCCGTCTGAATCATTTGAGGACCGCTTGGGCATGGCTGGAGGGGCCACGTCTAACCAAACGGAACCACAAATGAGCAAAGTCCTGCAGAAACTCCTGAACTCATGAGACAATTAGTCAAAACATTTGCAACGTGTATGACTTTGTTTCTGAATCAAGGTTTGGGCGGCAAGAACTTTCTCCAAACAGTCAAGGGGTTGTACGGTGCATTTGCAATGCAGCCGAATTGATGTCAAGATCTTTCAAGTATCTTTCAAGACACTTCCAGTGCCAAAGCGGCCACTAGCAACATCAGCCCTACACATGGTACACTCATTGAATTACCCGCTGCTTTGGCCTTCGCTGCGTTGCGCAACCCATCAAGCTGGAGCACTGGCGCTCCACACACATCCGCCTGTTGCTTGTTGATCGGCAGGATTTGCGATGCCAGCATCTCCTCCCCGCTGAGAAAGCGCTTCTTGTCCTGCAGGACGGTTGTTGGAATGTGGGATCCGAACCAATTACGAATACATGGAAGTATCGGGGTGTGACTCAGGATGATTGTGAATCATATATCGACTCGACAGGTTTCCTCGTTGTAGATATGGGCCGAGTTTGTTGTTAGCGTCATTAGGCTTTTGTCTCGGCATTCTCCCCGGGAACGGCCATTGCAAGGGTATTGCTGAAGGTCAGGACACTTGATGACCTTTGGCAATTCTCTGTAGTCGGCAAGAACCTTCTCCTCGGCAAAAGATCTAAGAGGTTGACAGTAACACATTGGGATGTGTCCTATCAGACTGACCCAAAACAAAGCCAATCAAGCAATGAGTACGAAACTGGTTCCAGTACAGAACTTTTAACCATTCATTGCAGCCAAACTACTTGAGCTGGGGTAAGGTCTGAAATGGGCAAGTCTTGCCACCAGAACATTGATGCATCACCAACCAAGTTTGCAGTCACTGTCGCGACCACGTCCTCCAGATTAATCTCTGGCCTCCACTTCACCTTGCTGTGCCTCCATGCGATGGCATAGCGCCTAGTGCGCGCTGCGGGGATGCCCAGGATGCGTGGGTCTATCACAATGCTGCGCACTGAATAGCCGGGCCCCAACTCCTGCTTGATCAAAGACTCTGGGTATTCTGGCACGTTCTCTATCAACATGGCATCGCTTGTAGGAGCAATCTTCCGATAGAAGGCTGTGTGGCACTTGTAGCTCGGAGCTTCGGTCCCCAACCTTTTCCCAGCCTTGCTGAAGCTGACGCAAATGGGGCCTCATCAGTTCAATCTCAAAACTGGTCATTACTGAAGCATACTGAAGCTGTTGACTTTGAAGGATTCCAAAGCTGCTGGCAATTTTCCGCTTGGTTTCGGCTTTGGAGCTGGGTGAATTTCTTAGTATTGACAAGTGACCTGGGGACCCGTTTTTTGATCTAAAAAACGGGCCCCCAGGACACTTGTTAAAAGTGAACCCAAAGTGGAAAATTGCCAAAAGCTGCACTGCACTAGTTTCAACGTCAATCCTTGAAGTGGTTGAGCTTGGCTCAACTTGAGGTCAGCGCCGGCAGCGTGGAACTTCAATCCTTGAGCGAGGGTCCGAGAGGGTTCATTTTGGTTTGAAGGCCAGGAACGGGGTGTATGACATGCCAAGACAAGTCGAGAGGCCACAACCTAGTCATTCCAATGAAACTGCAACGAAACATTTCAAGATGCCATTTACAGCCGAGTTTCGTATCTTGTTCTTCACTTTCAAGTGCTTCTTGTTGACACGGCAGTGCTTTTGATGAGTCACACAGAACTGGGTTTTCTTCGTTGGTTCAAATGACAAAATGTCACTGAAACAACATACATGGTATGTTCGGGCTAACACGCTCTGGCAGGAACCATCGATCTCGCAAGCGTATTCCGTATGAATGTGCGGGTCTGAAACGTTGGCAGGCTCGAACCCGTGGGTGCAAAGGAGCTTCGATGCTGCGGACTGAAGCGATGCCAAGGCCTCAGCCAATTACCAGGTACCCTGAGCACTACCGTGAGGTCTTTACATTTTTACACCCTGAACATGGTCCTTTTTTCCGGGGGTCCAAAAGTGAAGGTGCAGAGGCTTGACACAAATCTGCAATCGAAGGGGGGCTGACTGAGTCTGTGGCAGATTCAGGGGCACCTACCCCTGAAAATGCGCTCGAAAAGTTCCACCGCCACTCTGCCAAACGCTGGCACACCCATTGTGGGCCCAATCTTGCAGCAATACGATTCAAAAAAACTGTGGGCCAATTGAAAGCATCTTGCACGCTCACAAAGCCCGAGGGGTGGTCTGGCGTGGCTGCATAGACCGTGCATTTGGGATACTTTTTCCTGACCGACTCACTGAAGTCTGTCACGAACCCGACTAGACATGCCCGGCCTCTTGGTGGAAACCTTGAGGTTCTTCTTCAAGACAGTCTTCTTCCTGCCGCTCAAAACAAGTGAGGAGGGTTCATAGTGACAAGATCCCCACTTGGAGTGATTTACAATCACAGCAACAGAGAGTTATGTACATTATATACAAACCCCTCCTAGCTTGGGCGGTTGGAGGTGTAGAAGATGAAGCCTTTTGTGGAGCCGGTTGGCCCCAACAACTCCTGAGCTGTTTGAAAGCATCTAGAACTCAATCTTTGCACCTCATGGAAACGTTTTATGGGTAAGGCCGTAGCGACAATACCCTTTGCACACACCTGGCGTCATGCAGCCAGAAAAACGGACCGCCTAGTGGATGTTGGTGAGCGGCCTCTTCAAAGACCCGAAAACGCTATCCGTCCTGAGGCCGGAAGGGAAATGGTTTTGGATTTGGCGCAGCTTGGCTAAGGGTTCATGGATCTTGGTACAAGATTGATTGGTTTGACAGACAACCGGTTGAGTTGCCCACGTCTTGCGGCTTGGTCCACACTGATTCGAGGTCAAAGTCCTGGATGTAGGCCTGCAAGAATTGGAAGCTAGTTTTATCTTTAAAAACGACCCTTTGAGTTGCTCACCTGTTGGGGCTTGGTCCATCCTGCTTCAAGGTCAAAGTCCTGGATGTAGGCCTGCAAGAAATGGGAGCTAGTTTTAGCTTTAAAAACGACCCTGTGAGTTGCTCACCTGTTGGTGCTTGGTTCATCCTGCTTCGAGGTCAAAGTCCTGGATGTAGGCCTGCAAGAATTGGGAGCTAGTTTTTGATCGGAACCCAATGGTTGGAAAGCGCCTCACCACGGAGTTTTGGTTCTGAGCGCAGTGGGCACCCTTCTGGCGATTGGTCCTGGACAACCATGGATCTAATGGCCAACAACTGGAAGATAGATATTGGTCATAGAACATCATAGAACATCATCTTTGGACTTGGGAAGTTTTATATATCTCGCGGTCCTCGGTGTCCCCGGCCCAATTGCCAAGTGGACAGCTTTCTTCAACCCTAAGGTCTGTTTAACCATGTTTGAGCAAATAGATAGTGCCTACAGCAGCTCAGAACTCGCAAGTCAGCACATCTAAGGAACGTTTCAAAGCCAATGCCTGAAAACATACACTGTGCGTTGCTGCTCTACGCTGTTCTTATGGCTGGTCAGCTTCTTTGTTGCACTGGGTTCCGAGACGAGTGCGGCTGAGCCTAAGAACTCAAGCCTTTCGAGATCTCAAAAGCCAGGGCCGCTTCACGGCTAATGCTTGCAAATGCCCAAACATTTGAATTGAACACTGAATTATTATTCAGCCTTCAGCTAGGCCTAGCTACTGACTTCCCAGCATCTTGGTTAGGCCTAAGTTCCATATCAAGGAATCGCAACTCACGATTGGATGTGACTTAGTTCAGAGTTGAAAGAATCCTCAAATGAAGCCTGTTTGCCTTCAGGACCTGACATTCACCCGCATGCTGGTGGTCTCAAAGGGTCCTGTGAGAGCATGATATAATCATTCAAAGTCAGTACAAAAGAAAAGCCTGCCTTCACGTCAGTTGATGAAGATGCACTGAAATTGCTGCACCCCAGGACATCCTGCGCAAGCAGAAAAAGAAAAGAGGCAACCCTGAGCTGAAACCTATGATGGCCTCTCGGTAGCTTTGATCATGCCAAGATCTACCCTTTACAGTGAGTGCATGTGAGTGCATTCCCTCCTCGTACAACCTCCATTGTGACCCAATCTGGGATTCACCAGGCGCAGGGTCCTGACATTCGTGATGTTTGGGATATGGATTGGTTGACTGACTGAAACCCGGGTGGGGGTGACTCATTTACCAGCCTTGTCGTCGTCGATGGTGATGACCTGACCGACCGATGTTCAATCCAAAGATACTCTTACCACACAAACCTGGCCTCACATTGAGGCTCAGGATCAATAAAGGTGTCCACAAAGGTGTCCGGGAAGGTGTCTTCATAGACTTGGGATTGGTACTGCTCAAAGGTATCCTAGCAAGTTGAAAGGCAATCCTTGACAGACCTTAAAGAACCACATCTTAGTGGCTCCTCCTCCAGCTTGAAATCATTGCCCCACACCTGACCCAAGGAAAAGTGAAGCATCAAGTTCCCAGCTGAGCCGGAAATGCTACACCATGCCTGAGCATTCTGCCGCCTGGCAAGGAGAAGAGATAACGCGAGGGGCATGGGTACAAAGATGTACAAAGCCCCTCCAAGCCTGAAAGCAGTATGTGGGTGATTCTTGGTGGCGATCTTCAAGTTGTGCTTCCGGACAACGGTACAAGGCATCCTAGACTTTACTGTAAAGCAAACGGCCTACTAGCTGAAAGCTTCAAAAAAAGGGCTGCAGTCAAATTCCAGGTATTGGATGGAGTGGGGAGACATTATACCCAAATGATTGTAAGCACATGGTGCTTGCTGCTCCCTTTATCAGTTTTTTGGCTTCTACCGCCCAATCCGTGCTTGGAACACCATAGCTGGAGCAACCCTGTACAGTGCCCCAGTTGAAAGGCCAACTTGGATCGTGTCCAGGGAACCAGCTGTAGTGTAAAACGGCAAGGGGGCCAGGTGGCCGGGAGTCTGGTTTGTCACCAAGTCGACCAAGAACTCCACAGCTCGGCCGCTGGTGTCGGAAGCAAATCTTCGCAACAGCACCCGCGCCAACTCTAGGTATGTTTTTGCTTTCTTTGGATCGGTTTTCCGGAGAAGCCTGGACTCCTCAGGCGCGCGGTTCAAGATTGGCTCCATGAAGTTGTAGGGCATTGCCAAAACAGCCTCCTCATGCTGGAGCGGGGTAATATCAATAGCCAACAATTAGTCTTAAGATGTCTTAAGATTGTTTCTTTGTTGAAAGACTTGGTGGGACTGTCCTGTGCCAGGCAATCATCGGACGCAGTTCTTTTCACTAGGATCACAACGTCTAGTTCGTGTGCTTCAAGGTTGTAGCCTGTCACATCCACCTGGATGATGATATTCCGGGGCAAATCTGGCAGGGATGATTGCACTCAATCAGAGGCAAACACTAATCTCATTAGGAGTTTCCCACTCTTGCCTTTTCGAAGCATGAACAGATATGCATGGTGACCACTCTCGTCGCTCTTCATTCCGCCCTGGAAGGTGACTGGAAGATGGTGATCAAACCTGAGCGGCGCTGGGAGCAAAAAGAAAGATGGCCGAGTTGGATGACTGTCCACCCCTCCCAAGAAAAAGTCACATCCCACAAGGTTTTAAGGTGGCCAGGGAACCAATCCTTCCATGGTCGGCAGCTGGTTACCCACTCCACATTGATGACTGCCTTTTCCCCAATCCACTGTTTGATGTTGATGCGCTCGAGAATGCTTCTAACTTTTCTTAGTTGGTGGGCAACACAAGAGACTAACCCCTTATGGAAAGTATGAATGTGCAATACGAACCTGATGTCATCGATGTCATGATGCTTTTGAATTTTCAGCCAAACTTCACAATGAGGTCTTGCGGGTCACACATAAGGTCGATGTATCTCACGCACTGAGCCAATATGCCGTATAGTTGGTCTCAGCAGGGCGCTCTAGTAAGCAAAAAGAACGGTGCTGCAGTAGAATTCATCAAAGTCCGACGGAGGAACACCACAAATTTGCGACAAAGTTACCCAAACTCCCATGACTGTGGCCTACTCTCGGGAAGAGTAACCCTCCCACTCGCATCTTCTGTTTGGCCAATAAAGAACACATCATCTTCATGTTGCAGTTGTTCTTGTTCTCCCTGACAGTGTTGTCAGCCTGATCCGGTCTGCCAACACCTCTAAGCCGAACCAAAACCAAAACCAACCTGGAACTGACAAGATCTGATTGTTGTTTGCAACCTAGCTGCCCAGATGAAGCATTCCCTGGGGAAGCTCTTCTGGTGCTGCTCAAAGATGTTAGCAGCATCTTGTAGCGCTTTCATGAAACACTCTGCTACCAAACTAGAGTCAGCGGGGATGTTTGGATGAATGACGTACAGGTTGAGGGATACTCCATGCAGCCAAACCCCGTGCAGTTTCATCCGTGGGCGGATGAGTGTTGAAACCTCCTTGCTGGATTGGGCTAGCCGGTTCCTTGGCAGCGCCCATTTGGACTGATCCATTCCGTCCTAAGATGATCTCAGATAATGACAGTGGCCCAATGAAGCACACAGCTGCAATGAATCAATGAAAGAACGACGGCCGACAACTGGCAAGTATCCCAATGGATCGCAAGTGTCCCGCACTCGCTGTCCAGCGGGTTCTGTCCCTGGCGCATCCCAACAATATGCCATGTGCAGTGTCCTACAATCTACATGATTTAGCCTGAAGGAACTCCTCGAGCTGCCGGTCGGCAGATACAGCGTCCAGGTGCATTTTGTATTGCCGGGCTAGGTCGTATTTCGTTTGGCTGTCCTCCGTGAGTGGGTGGTGTGATGTGTTCAACAAAGAATCAGACATGTGCCAAAGACCAAGATGTCATGGAAGCATGTTGCACATTGATTGCTCTGAGATATTCCAAGGGTCGGTTGCTTGCCGGAACTTCATCTTAAAGTCCAAACAGTGGTCACAAGTGGAATGTGTCGTTGGCGGCAAAAAACTTGAGTACCGATGACCACAAGGACTTGTATCGGCGCCAGAACGTCAAATACCTACCAATCGGGTGATGAAGAGACCTTTGGACCAACTCAACAAAACAACCCGAATGTCATTCAATGTCGAGTAACGATACGTGTGGGCTGGACTCCCGGAACTCGAGCCAAAGCATCTTGATTGAGCCCGGAGGCAGCCAGCGTGTGGGCAAAGCTGAAATTCTCCGGCTGAAATTACATTCCACGTACCTTCGTCTCCCAAAAGCAGCAGAATGATTGGGGTGTTGCACTTGGAAACATGTTGTGGGCCTTTGTAACTCACTTGACTAGTGACTTACTGAAGAGCGATTGCACACCAAGTATGTGCAACCGCAAGCTCTCATCATCTTCCAACCGCTCTCCATGAACTTGAAACTCATCTGCTGGATTGATTGGTTCATCTTCTGATTCAGAACCTTAATCAACAGAAAAAACAGGGCCAGTAGGTAAACGTATCATACTCGGGGCCATGTTCTTCAAAGTGTGGTACTAACGTTGTCTAGACACAATGTTCTTCTTCAGGAACCTGTTTGTAGACAACCTTCAACTCATCTCTGCTGCCCGGAGATTGCTTTCGCTGGTGACCACCACGTCGAAACCTACTGTAGTTGCTGAAAAATGAGACTTAGAGTTGAATGCGTTGCACGTCAACCAGTAAGGGGTCTAAGGTTTAAGCTTGTTCGGCAACATTCCAGCTGCACCATGGTAAAGCTTCATCAAATGATTATCCACTGCCATCCTTTTCACAGATTTGACTTTGCGTACCTGCAGTTGTCTGTGTATTGGGTTGGATGAGTGGGTAAGGTCCATCCATATCGAGCAGGTTCGGACCGCGAAAGGCTACAGTCCAAGCATCAAAGCCAAAGGCCTGAAAGCGAAGGTCCACACGACCGCTGTAGGCTGCATGTAGCCTGTTGCAGCCAAGCCCCAAAATCACAGCAATACATCGTGATTCCACCCGCTGCCCCAACAGCATCCACTTTCGGTAGACATTGATACCAGGTCGGGCAGCTGCAACTCTGTGAATCTAAGTTCCAAAGATGAATGACGTCAAACAATCTGAACTCACACAAGGGATTGACATCCGAATAGCTATTGAATCAAAACGGTGTTGGAAACAATCCTGGAAACAAAGGCATCTTGCAGAGTTTTGCTGAGATTCCAGAACAGTGTAAGGAACTGCATCAAGCTTGCTTGCCTGAAACGCTTGAAGCAGTTACCAATACTGCAACGGCAGCACTTTAGACGCATCAGCCGCTGGACTCTGGACAAGCTTTGGCCATTCAGGTGTTGCCTTAGAAATTCAACCATTCGACGGCGCCAACAAAGGGAAGAAAGCTTTGGAACCTGTCAGGAAGCCAGCCCCGAAATATAGAAACTACATAATGACCTTCCAAAACAATTTCAAGATACGTCTTCCTCTCTGGTGGTTGTGTTGCCTCAAATCGTCTCTTTCGATTGTCGTAGTTTGGCCGCACTGAGGTGGGCTTAGGGACAACTTGATGAGCAGAATGCTCACAGTGATCATCTTTGAATTGCACCAAAGCTTCCAAAGAGAAATCACAAATCTTTGTCTGAGACCCTGCATGGTCAGGAGGTGTCATCAAGGCTTTTGGCGACGTGGGCTGATCATGCGAACGACTTCCGAAGGACTTGAAAAAAGCTCGACGTGCATCTGGTAAAACACACTGATCTTCCGGATCCCCAGTCTCTGATTGAGCTTCAGCAGCGACAAGAGCGCAGTCAGCAGCCAGTGATCTAGAGCTCGCATCAGCAGATAGCCTTGTAGAGCTCGAGGCCCCATCCGTAGATAGCCTTGTAGAGCTCGAAGGACCATCATTACATAGCCTTGTAGAGCTCGAAGGACCATCAGCACATAGCCTTGTAG